CAGAAATCTTCTCAGATCCATTGTTGTTCTGCAGAGAAACAAACAGAGCAGGAGCTAGAAGTTTGAGAGCATTGTTCTTGCGTTATATCCAGAAGAAGAAGCGATCTCTAAAGAAAAAGAAGATTCACCTCTTCTTTGAAATTCAAGTCGTAGGTTTTGTCGGATGAGTAGAACTCTGAAGCGGCAACATCCATTCCAATGACGACCTGAAAATCATGACTAGGACCGACCCATTAGTTTCAGAGATTATGATTCGGATACAAGCAAAGCTAAATTGTTGCCGGTAGGAGACAGACCTTGCCAGTGTATCCAGCCTTCTCAATAGCAGTCTTGAGCAATTCAAGACCTTCCTTGTTTTCCTGAATGTTTGGTGCAAAGCCACCTTCATCGCCAACATTTGTAGCATCCTGGCCATACTTCTTCTTAATCACAGACTGAAAAAGAAAAAGAAAAAACATAGTCCACGGGAATCAGTCAAACGATTCTCACTGTAATAAGGAATAAATATATTGCATATCGAGGGCATCTCAAAGACAAAAGTGATTTAAGATTTACCTTCAAGTTGTGGTAAACTTCCACACCCATTTTCATGGCTTCCTTGAAGGATGAAGCTCCAACAGGGAGAATCATAAACTCCTGCAAACACCAGTACCCAGTCAGAAATATTCAAAACAGAAAAGCTTGCAATTTGGTATGTCAATGAAGAAGAATCAAAATGAACATGCCTGCATAGCAAGCTTGTTTCCTGCATGGGATCCACCATTGATGACGTTGAAGGCAGGAACTGGGAGCACAATCTTTGGGTTACCAGCAAGGTTGGCAATGTGCTGCACACAAAATACACACAAAGGAGAGAGCTTAGAACTAGTACCAGAGAAACCAAGTAGCAACAGTCGTGTCCTCAATGGTTAGAGGGAATCAACTTATTTGTGCAATATAGTCCTACCTTGTAGAGGGGAATGCCATTGACAACGGCCCCAGCTTTGCAAACAGCAAGTGACACAGCAAGAATAGCATTGGCTCCAAGCTGTACACAAAAAGAAGATGGTTAGACATGTCTTTCATTCTTGAGTGAATACACAAAAGATGAATTTTCCCCTTAAGCACCTTTTGTTTGCACCAACCCCACTCGTTTTGGGTTCCATCAAGTTCATGGACCATGAAGTTGTCAATAGCAGTCTGCTGAGTTGGGTCCTGCAAGAAACAATATATGCCAAAACACAGATGGATGAGCCTTGTGCATGTTGTGCAAATTCTACTGATGTCAGAAAACAACAACAGCTACAAAAATTAAAGAGAGATTCACCTTTCCAATAAGTGCTGGGCCGATGATCGAGTTCACATTGCCAACAGCCTTGGAGACACCCTTTCCAAGGTAGTCTGATCCTCCATCCCTCAACTCAAGGGCCTCGTAGATTCCTGTCAACAACAAGATTCCGCAAATACAGATTCAACCAAAAAATATTTGTATACAAAGAGAAATCAACCAGGCCTGAACAGAAATCAAAGGTAACATACCAGTGGAAGCTCCGCTTGGAACGGCAGCTGTAACCTTAACACCAGTGGATGTGTGGACATCGACCTAAACCATTATCAGATGAATCCGAAGACAATCATTAACTTTCTTTCTATGAATCAAACTCAATCATCAGCAAATAGGTAACACGAATCGTTAAAACCACATGAAGGAACAAACAGTACTATATTCCGAACGGAAATCCAAAAACAGATCCGTCGCAAGAATCATATCAACAAAATCAAATCCCATCATCTATGACTG